AGTACCTACAGACAATCTGTGCTATAAACCCTTTAGCAACAAATGTTAGACATAAATTGAAAAAAATAAATGACCTATTTTTGGCATAATACAAAATGTGTATAACGTGAAGCGAAAGACCAAGGTCGTGAAGACCTACTCAAAAAGTCAGCTTTAACTACTGATTACTGCACTACCTTTCTGTGATGGGGTAGTGAGAGTGTGGTGTCCACGACTGCAAGATATTACTGTGATTTACAGTATGCTTAAAACGCTGCTTGTGGAAATGGAAAAGAAACAGCACTGTGGTATGGAAGGATCTTTTTTTTAATTGTTTGTCATAGGGGTGGCAATGGCAATTTTAACCTTAGGAGGGAAGTGAGCGAACTGGGACAGGTCATGGCCTGTGATGTGTGCTCTAATCTCCTAAGGTTATAAAACACACTAACAAAATGCTCTAAAGTTCTAGTGACCTAATATTTCTCATTAGCTACTGAAATAATGTCGTATTGATTAAAACTGACATCTTCGGAGAACCTCTTGGGTGTTTCCTGCTAAGGTTACACGTAAAAGACATTAATGGGCACCATATATGTGTGAATAATTGGTGTGTTTTTTTTTGGGGGGGGTTGTTGGTATCATTTTGGTATTAAAAGTCTTTTTCAGTGGTAATATGTAGACTCTGGGAGTGTAGTGCAGAGCCAGAAGGTTTCTCACCAGGAGACTGTCAACAGTTTTACACTGGGTCCTTGAAGGAGTAAACGATTATAGGAAAAACTTGATTTATCTGCAAAAGGCTGACAGTGAAATCAGTGAAATATAGTGCGAAGAAATAACCCCAACCCCAGTTCATGTAATCTTTTCAGTTCATAAAAACAAATACTGTCCCAGTATTTAAAAACCAGAGAGCAGATTAGGAGTATGGGGAAATAAATCTCACTTGACCTGTTTTCAGGAACGATTTCAAAGAGGAAGGGCAATTCAACTGTTGATGTAGTCATATTTTTTTTCTTTTGTATCCTCAGAACACCTGTTCTATTTTGCCTGTCTATAAAAACACTTACAGAAGGAATTTAGTTTTTTGTGGTTTTTAACCTTAAAACCAAGACATAATTTGTTTTTACATTTAAATGCTATGTTACATGTTAATGACATTTTTAAGTGTGGAGCCTTCCCAAAACAATGGAGTTGTGCTGTTTAGGCATGTGTGCATCTTCACGAGGCTTGAATTAAGGAAATTCCCTACAGCAACTGACAACTGTGTGAATAAAAGCCTTCTATCCCTCAGCTGTTTTAAAACCGATCCATGCTTACAACGCTCTGGAAATGAGATGTCCTCTCAAGATGAATGCACTGAGCAGTCAATGCAGAATATTTGAAAGGCCTTCATCATTGCTCAGACTGGAGACTCTTCCTTCCTGTTGACATTCAGTGATGGGTTTGTGGTCAAGTGGTCTTTTAGATTACATTTTTAAGCTCCAATCGATTAAATTCCTGCCTGGGAAAACATTCATCATTTATTATCCTGTGTCAGAGTACATCTGGTTGTTGTGCTTATGCTAAGAGCAAAGGCTGCTGGTTTGGACCCCCTGTTGGTGCCGAAATTCTTTCCGTGCACATTGTGCTGTTTGTGCTAATAAGGCTGAAACAGTGCTCGTCCAGCTTCTCATCTTTTAATTACAGACTGTCCATTGTCTGTGCTGACCCATTTTCGCATGGCTCCCCACCAGCAGCCCAGATTTCCCAATCTCACTTAATTTAATTTGGCATTTTGTTCAGTCCGACAGACTGTGAACACGATAAAGAAATATTAAAAAATAACTTGCTCAGGAGTCCTAATTGAAGCCCCCCTCTCAGCCTTTGTCTTTGGGAACGAGTGGAGTTTGGGACTGGGGTTGGAGCGCAGTGCCCCTGGCGCAAGGGCAGCCTGCCAGGGCTCAGTCTAAAAGAGATGGAAAGAAGGACTGACTCTGCATCTGAAGCACTGTGGGTGCGGCTGCTGCAGCTGCTGTTCCTGCCTTCCTTTCCCTGGCGACGTTAAGCACGTGGAGATAAACCTCACCTTTCTGTTGACTGGAGAAAAGTCTCATTGCAAACTCCTTGCTGTGAGCCCGCGCTGTTGAACGCAGAAGCACTGTGCTCATTGTTGTCACAGTAGCTACGTCAGCACCTGGCCCTCTAAAACCCATCGGAAGTCATGTTCACTAGATTTTCATGGCTGCTGAACCTAGAATGGTACTCTCCAGTGAATTATGCACCCTCGATAAATGTAAACAGATCAAACGCACCACATTTGAACAGTTGGGAAGTTGTTACTGTTAGGCCGGGCCCAACAAGGTGTTGAAGCGGGCTTGGTGGAAATGAGAGTCAATGAGCCAGGATATGCAGGAATCAAGAAAATAGACTGAAGACTGAAGACTGAAGACTGAAGACTGAAGACTGAAGACTGAAGACTGAAGACTGAAGACTGAAGACTGAAGACTGAAGACTGAAGACTGAAGACTGAAGACTGAAGACTGAAGACTGAAGACTGAAGACTGAAGACTGAAGACTGAAGACTGAAGACAAACTCAAGGCAGGGTTAGTGAGTCAATGTCTGAGGCTTAAATACTGTGCGATGTTCCCTAATTGGCCTGATAGGCCCGGCCTGATCTCGTTGAGGATGGCCCCAGTGAGTCTCCAGCATGTGCGGAATGCACATTGCCAATTGGTGGAGCTGATGTGGCAGTGCTGGAGCTCGTTGGGGCATAACAGTTACATGACCGTCTACGTAGCACACGTGACAGCACTGATCCTGAAGTTTCATGCTTTTGTTGAAGAAACCCATTTGATTATTGCAGTGTGGATTTGGTGTGATGCTGATGCTGATGTCGATGTAAAGTGCATTTTTGTTTGCCATCAGACATCTTTTTGTCTGCTAAGATAGTTTTATTATGAGTTTGAAAATGGGACTCCCAAAACCTGCTGGTTTTCATTGTATGGGACCTCCCTAATGAAACCTTAATCGAGCACCTTAGCTAATTTCGTGCCCGAGCTAACGTTTTCTTTCCAGAAGTGCGTTATCTGTCTCTTTTTGGTAATACGACGGAATAGAAAGTAGAAAATAACACTTCACAGATTAGCTTCTTAAGGCTAATTACAGCTACCCTGTGACATGGGTATTCATTCTAACTTGGCAGTCTAGTGCTGAGGTTCTGGAAACGGGGGGGAGCGCAGGAGTGTGCCTTAAGAAGCAGGCTTGTGCTGGAACTTCACTGATAGATAGGTGTTTCTTACCAAAGGTGATCTTTTTCCGGGTTTCTGAATGTGTAGACAAGCAGAGAGCTGTGATCCAATTTAGTGGCAAAGCTTCAGGTAAGAGGGTTGTAAATTACTTGGACTAGTGAAGCCACCTGCATTGCTGAGTGCTGTGGGCCCGTGTTTCCCCACTCATTGGTGCGTTACGCTGTTAACATTGTTACTGATTTTTTTTTCCCGTTTCTCCAGGGTATATACTAATTAATGGATACCATTCTCAGTTGATTAGCAGCAGTTTCTTCGGTAATTACATTGCCATACTAACTGCTCAGAAGACAGTTTCTTTGAAAAAATCTAAAAGATTAATCCACTTCTCATTTCACTCTGGTCTTAATTAGTTTCTCCTATTGTTTGTGGTAGTTTAGATAAAAGTCGTTTTTTCTTTTTTAGTTTGTCCTGCAGTGATGGTGTAAAGTACAGTATGATGTAGGAGAGCTACAGTGTTCACAACATTAGGCAAAAGCAGAAGGGATGCTGGGCTTTTTCTCAATTTGACGGTTTGACAGTGAATTCCATTAAAACCTTGAATAATAGAGCTTGTCACCATTCCATACCTCTGCACAAAAGATGGAAATAATGAAGTGGACACAAGAAGGTACACTGAGTTTTAGGTACAGATGTTCGCCCATAATTTTTCATTCTATGCTCCATTGTTCTTACCTGTCGCTATTGTTCTGTCTCGGTAGAACGGGAACTGTCTGCTATTCTACCACCAAGCTGTGTGGGTAAGAGTCTGGGTGTGAAACATTGCTTCCTATCACAAGCACACTACAATGGTTCTGCTGCTCAAGTAGACCCAGCTCAAAACCGTTGCCTTGAAAATGAATATTATGTGAATGAATGCATTCTTGTACTGTTAGGTTCTTGTTTTACACCTTAATTGCTTTCTCTCCTAGGGTTACTGAAAGTTAATAACCTAATGCTGCATCTTGCAACTTTAATTCTGTGATGCTTATGTGTCATTAATTGCCATCCTGTGGCTATGAATAGCCACTGCAGATTGTCTCTGCTTGATATTGAATTCTCTGTGCCTCAGAGCCTCTTCCATCTGATGACACTTTCCCATAACAGCATGTGAGACACGAAAAGCATCGAGTTTCACTCTGCATTATAGCAGACAGATTTCTTTGAACATAGGATACATTCCTTCATATTCTTGCAATGACATTTATAATGTTGTGTCATGGAGCATTTTGTCAGTAATTGCTTTGTTACTTATCACAGTGGAGAAACACGCATTGAGTCTATAAAATACAATTGTTTCAGGCTGGTTTTGACTCTTTCCTTGAAATAACTTCAAATCAGACAAGTTTGCCAAAAATGAATGGGGGTGTGTGGTGGGGACTGATGTTGTTTTAGCTATTGGAAGCTTTTGCAACTTTTAAGCTCATAAATTTTTGCCTGTACCCAAATTGTGCATTTAAGGGCAGTTCATATTTGCTCTCTCACAAACCAACTTGTCATTTAAATATTAGCTTTAGAGAGCTTTCATCGCAGCTACGCATCTGCTTGTTTGTGGACGAAAGATCAATGCAGGCAATACTGTGTAATTTATACCACACAAACCCCACAATATACAGACCTTCAAAAGCTGCTTTTCCATTTCTCAGATTACTGGCAGATCAGATTCCCTGGTGCCATTCAACAGTGCTTCTATCCAGCTCATTCACTGCAGAAATAATATCAAAGAATCTAATGATCTGCTTGCTCTTTCTTTCTTGCAGTTTGGGAACAACAATAACTACATGAGCATGGCCGAAGCCAGCAGCGCCCTTCTTGCAGCCAGCGAGGCAAGTATCCATCGCCCTGTCCTTTTGATCCTTTGTGGTCCGCGCTGATGACAGAAATGCACAGCAGACAAATGAGACTGATTCCCCGAAACGGAATGTCTTTATTTTTTGTGATGTGTCGAATATGAAAGGGGGTTTAATGAGAAACAGAAAGCCATGCCATTTCTTCATTACCCAGTCCATCTAGTTGTCCCTGCCTGGCGCACGTGCCTGCGGAATAGCTGAACGGCCCAGAGAACGAGCAGGAGAAAGGAGTGGTGCTGGGCATGAGCAGGGTCTCTACAGTCTTCCAGAGGACAGGGGCTGAGTCTACAGTGCATCGCAGAAGTATTCTGGCCTTTGCACATTGTGGTGCTTTAAAGCTTGAAGTCAAGACACTTTGAAGTAGCAATTAATATTTGTCATGTACAGAACATACTCCACACCTTCTATGCAAAACGCAGAGAGAGAAGTATGTAGATAATTAGCACGAGGGGAAAAATTCAAGAGTCATGCTAGCATAAGTATTCAAATGGTATTGCTACCCTTAATATAGTTAAGGATATTGATTCAGGTGCACAAAATTACCTGAACGAGCCACGCAATTAGTTGAGTGGTCTATCTGGGCAATAATAGTAGTTCACATGAATTTGGAAATAAGTACACCTGTCTCAGAAAGGTACTGTATTTCAGTCAGGCAGATCAGGCTGCCCCTCCAAACTGAGCAGGAGGGAAACTGTGAGACCAACCACAGCTTTGAAAAAACTACAGAATTTAATGGCTGAGATGGAAGAAAATGGTTTAGGAGTCGACGCTGACCTCTATAACGGAGTGGGAAGAAGGAAGCGATTCGTGAAGCAATCTCAGATCCTGCCTGGAGTTTGGAGCAGAGTATTTCAAACACGTGTCAAGTGGTTCTGTGGTCAGATGACCTCAAAACAAAAGGTTACATTTAGTGCAAACAACATGGGGCATCACCCAGGCAGCATCATCAAGCATGGTGAAGGTAGCGCACGCTATGGGTCTGCTTCTCTAGACTGAGGGGAAATGGACTGAGCAAAGCACAGGGACTTTTTAAAGACCCACCTCTGTCTGTTAAAGACCTTAAACTAGATGAAAATTCATATTTTAGCAAGAGAATGACTGAACACACATGGCTAGAACTATCCTGGAGTGGTTTAAGTGAATGTGCTTCAGCAGCCCAGTCAAAGTCCTGATCCGAATTCTACTGAGAACATGTGGAAAGCCAAGAAGAATAGGTAAACTTTTCACCAAGTTGGTGAATTCTGCAAGTGAGTGTGCAATGTTGGTACTTATCCAAAAGGATTTATGGCTGTAATTGCCATCAAAGGTGTTTCCACCAAATATTGATTTCATGGGTCTGGATATTTTGTAAAGGTATTACAATGCTTTATTAATATACAGACTGCTTAAGTGTCACATGGAAGGGCACTGTAATGCAGAAAGATTTGGAGCTGTTTGATCCAGGAAGTCATCTAATCATTTGCTTGATAACATTTGGGATACCAAGACTCAAAACTTACACATGGACCCTACAGAGAGGGTCTTGTCCCATGTTGTCTGGTTTCTTTCATGCTGATGTTTGACAGTATGATGGCTGTTCAAGCTCTAGGACTGTAGCTCCCCAACCTGGTCACAGGGATGAGTCACAGTTGAGTTCTTACATAATTGACCAAAGGTTCATAGACAGGAGGATAATGCTTTTTAACTATCTTGTTCCATGAGTCACTAAAGATGTCTGAGCAGAAAAGGAATTGAAGGTGGTTATTAAGCAACTCACTAGTTCTGCCGAGGTTTTAGTCCTGGATCCAGTTTTGGTGGCTTTGTGTTTGTGAGTAACTCTGTTTGAAAGCTGAATGTTCCCATGTCATCCACCCAGAAGCTCTCGGGGACAACCCAGAGCCGTTTGTCCAGATTCATGACAATTCTCTTGTTTTCACTGAAAAGCTTTTATGTCAAGGCGCATTAGCAGGAATTGGGGTGGGAATGAACCACCTGTGTCTTCCTTAGTGAATAAATAAGTGCTTTAAAGCGTGGGGGGAGCTGCTAAACCGAGCTGTCCCTTTCCACTGCTTCCAGGTCCTCCACCTGCTTTCCTTTGGCTTTTCTGTCCAAAAATAAATGCACTGATGAATATTGCTGTGAAAAACGTATTCCACCCCTCTTTGCCTTATTTGAACCCATCTTTAGGATCTGTGTAATGTTATACCCAACCACTGGGCAGCGCTGTCCTTTCTAAAGCCACGGTTCTGTTTTTGTTATGGGCAGTGGCACGATCAGCACTGCAGAGCTTAAAGACAACATGGGTATTGAAATACAGCGGGGGCTACAAGAGAGGGAACACGAGAGGCAATAGCTCTTGCCTCTCCCAGTAGCGCCTCTAGGATCTCGGGCAGGGTGGTGCTGCTGTTGAACGGGCGCTGACCGTTCGCGCAGGCCTGAGGAGAAGGAGCTGGACTACTCTTCAGTAACACGAACCTGGAGGAAACATACGATGGTTCATCGCCCCCCCTCCCCCGCCGACAGACGTTTGAATCAAATGTCGATGAAAGCTGTGCTTCCACCAGCTGTTCGGAGACAATTTAATTCCAGCTGTGTTAACTCTCCATGTCAGGCGTTGGCTGTCGTGTGTTGATATAACAGCCCTTCAGATTTGCATTTTATCAAAAGGAACAAATGTTTCTAGTGTTACGGTGCAGATGGATGTCTACACAGATTCTACAAATTAAACTTGTAACCATATAGGCTAAGTTCAAAAGTGGGCTTTAGGCATAAAGTATTGTTTATTGTAACCCAAACTGGAGGGAAATCAAAAGTATGGCCTCTTATAGTACTGCAATTTCACACAAAAATTGAGTTTTCTTTTCTGCTGAAATACCATATTAATCCACTTAGTGTTTCAGTCTTCTGTGTTGTGTGCAATCAGAGTAATGGCCGATGCTCAAGCACAAGTTTGATTTTAAATATGCAACTGGGGTACTTATTGTGTTCGTTCCATAGGACTATTAAAACTTTTCATTAAAAATCAACACATACGTTGGCTGTAGACCACAGTTTCAAGCACTAACTATACCTTAAATAACGGATGGGAAAAGCTCATTACAGCAAGACAAGAGTTTATCTTCTGGTTTTGTGCTGCATTTCATTAAACTATAATGTCAAATGAGTCACAAATTATAGCTGCATCTGTTGCAACAGCCTGTACCCTTCACAGAGGCTGTGCAAGAGGAGCATGATTACTCTGTAGCTAAAACTCCGACAAATGCTTTGGCGTTAATTTTCTTATGGCATCAAGGTTCAATTTAGCAAAGCATGTGTATGTTGAACAGCTTTTTTTAAAAAAAATTATTAGAGTTTAGTTAAATATCAAAGGAATCATGCTCTGGAACCCTTTAACACTATTTCCCCCCAATAATTTACAAGAAAATGACACAATTTATTAAAGCATATGTGATTTAGCAAATGATCTCGCATGGAATCTTAACTTCCACAACTGCTTTCGAAGTGGAATATGCGGATAGTGTCCACAGCCTGTAAGTTTGAATGAATAGAAGGTGAAGTTTGAATTTGTAGAACATCATCCAGCAGCTTTGGATGTTTTTTTCTTAACCTTTTAAATATTTACGTTCTTTCAGGTCCTGGAGCAGTACAGGATGGCACTCAAAATTTTAAATTCAGAGTCCTCCTGCGTCAGAGACTTAACACTGGAAATTATTACGCTTATATAACACGTATAACAAAAAAAAAACATTAATTTTCAACCATAAAGGTTGAATAAGGAAATGAATTTCCTGACTGATATATAGTCAAGGTAAACATATATTGTACATATTAGTTCTTTAAATTTTAAAATTCCTGTTGGTATTCAGAATGCCCATTCAGATGGTTTAAATTGAACCTGGATGTGAAGTACTTTTCATTCAGCATTACATCTGTATATTTCAAGGAGAAGATACTATATTTAGCAGATAGAATCTTATTCAGAAGCAACACTTTTCAGATATTATTTCCTACTTTAATATTTATAAATGGAGTTTAGATTATATAGATTTGAAATGAGTGATATTAAAATGCAAAAAAATATACTGCTTGTTTTTGCATTGTTAAAGACTCTGTGTGTGTGGTTTCTGTGTGGTTTGTGGTTAAAACCTGTCAGTTTATTTCCCCATATCTCTCATATTCATGAAGCTGTAGCTAAGATGAACTTTGGATTCGATCTCTAGTGTCCATATGGTATCTTAGAAACACCATCACTCAGAGAGAGCTTTTTTTAACATGGCATTTCATAGCATTGCACTGGTTTCTCCCAAAAGACTTTGCAAACCCTTGTTGTTATGGGTTAAATAAAGTAAAGTTCATTAATAGCCATCGCTTTAATGCAAAACGACCTGAATTTGCTTTCACATTTAGACAGCTGGGGCATATTACAGGAAAAATCTGAAAGACGGCCAAAACTCAAGGGTGTTTCACCAGAGATTTGAACCCATGACCTTCCAGTTATGAGTCCAGAGTCAGTACCACTGTTTCATGCTTGCATTTGTGTCTGGGTTGGGCACGTCACCATTAAGCCTCTACTTGCCCTTATTCATTAGAGTAAGCAATCAGGGGCAGGAGCTGATGGTCCTGTGTGTATTTATTTTCTCACCCCAAGCCAGTATCTGGTCTGGCACTGTCTAACTTAGCTTTCGGAACAATTTAAAAGGATAATCGGTCGCCTGACATCTGAAGAAAGTGGATTTTGCATCTTTTAATCTCAGATCAGAGTGTAAGCCTCCCCTTGCAGAATTAAGCAAGCTTTATGTGAAGTGACACTAATAGAGACCGTGGTGTAACACAGACACTGTTCCACCAGGCTGTGCCAGTCTGGCACCTCATCACGTTACATGAGAGACCAATAATGACAGCTGACACATTCTATATGCAAGTGAAGCCTCTGCTCAGTATGTCTCAATTTTCAGCTCTCTGTGGGCAGCTATTAATTGATATCATCATTAAGACTTTGAAAAGGACGACAACTTTTGCAGCCTTTAATAACGATGATCTCTGGGTCCTCTTGTCTTACTCTGTACCAACTTAAGAAATACAATTTTTTCTTCCTGTCATTCTGAAATAATTTGTCAGCATTCTGCTTAACTGTGAATATGGGAACTCTGCATTCTCTAGGAAAGTTGGCCCAGAAGTAGACAATGTGCTGTGTAGCGTGAAAATCCTGGTAGAGTGTCGGGAGTTGGGTTCTTTCTGAAAGATATAGTCAAATCATGTTGACCCCAATCATTTGATTATTTGCTTAAATATCTGTAGATTTCTTCCTTCTGTTTCTCTGAATCGGGGAGGGCCTCTTGCCTTCTAAATAGGAGCTGTTGGCAGCAAATAGAAATATTTCTGAAACTCCGAAAGGCGGCCATGTTATAGTCTCTAGTTATCTGTTTCTCCTGTTTCATACGAGCATTAAAAAGCGAAGGCAGTTTCGGTGACAAACAGAGAGGATAAAAAGGCAATGACACACTGTAAACAGTTTTTGATTGCGAGGGAGGTAATTTGTTACACATGCTGTACCTATGGGGGAGCCTGGATGAGCTGGGTTGCCGTAACAGGATGGAGGGCTGATTTAATGGTTATAATACAGATGTCAAAGAAGCTGAACACTGTTATAAAACAAAAAAGAAATGCTATTAGCTACCTCTGCGAGCATTTCATCACTGCTTGTCAAGAAAGTGGCTTCCAGTGTAGGCAATGAATTTAAGTTTAAGTGTCAATGTGTTAAACCACTGAGAGCCATTTTAATACACTTTAATCGCGGATGTGTTAACATATTCCCTTCTGTGCTTGCTTTCATTTTTTCACCTTAGTTCAGATAAGAGGAAAAGCTTTGTTTTAATAAGAGTATGGACCGGTGGCTTCTGCTCTGTCCAATGCAGTGTCCAAAAGTAGAAATCATGAAATCAGTAAATTCTTTTTACAACCTACCAAACTTACACTAGGTTTGGTAGGTTGGTTCCTTGAGCTAGTGAAAAATAAACAGACTCCTTCAATTGGCATCTTAAGATGGGTTTAAAGCTGGGTTGTCAAAGAACTTGGGCATGTGGAAACAGTTTTATGAAATGGTTTGTGCACCATGCGGCTGATGTACACGAGGCAAGGTAGACTGTGAAACTGCACACTGCAGGCTTGATCGGGTTAGGTACAGAGAGTGAAGAAGCCCTATAAGCAAATTAACTAATTTCTTAGGGATATAGATTAAGCCAGTTTGATTCGCAGATTTGAGGGTGCAGGCTTAGCGAAGACAGGGAAGGGAAACGGATCTAGCCAGCTGGAATAACCTTGTAAAATATTAGACGAACCTATCTCTCAGTGACGTGTATTTTCTCCACACTTAACCGAACATCTATAACTCTAGATTTAAAGCTCATTTGTCGTGTAATCCTCCTGCGATGATTACTGCTGATAAGCTGGTATTGGTCTTTTTTTCCCCTGTGCCTCTTATTTGAGAAGATGGAGCAGGCTCTGGGAGTCTGAGTTTAGCCTCTGTGTTACTGTGCATCTTCTGTCAGTCCTCTCACCCTTTTTCTGCTTTCCTTATTTTGGCACAGAAATGCCTATCCATTTCCTGACCACGAGAATTAGTAAATAACTTTCAGGGACAAGAATAGAAGACAGAGAAAAAAAATAACTGTCTCCCGAAATACTTCCCCACAGATATAATGGTGCTCTCTGTATTCCATTACGCAGTATGCTAAAATGACCAGTGACATCGTGCCCCACAGTAGCTGGCCTGGTGACATTGTACAGTGCCCCATTGGATGATGACACTCTTCTTTTTGTCCGCATTACAGCAAACGTTCCACACACCCAGCCTGGGAGACGAGGAGTTTGAAATTCCGCCCATCACCCCTCCTCCGGAGACAGAATCGGGAATGGGCATCGCGGACATGGGCTCGCCATTTCAGGGGCTCCCCAACCCCCCGAGCACACAGGGTGCCCGGTTTACCCCGCAGTTCCCCCCACAAAGCCTGGAGCTGCCCTCCATCACAATATCCCGCAATCTCATGGACCCGGAAGGAGCTGTCCTCAACAACGGCCTACCTGTGGTGAGTATGCTCAGACACTGCGCTACACAAGCTGGCAACGGGCAGCATTCTGGTATGAAAACAAGCTAAGCAGGTTCTCATTTATACCTATATCCATAGCCCCGCTCAACAGATGATTCTTTTTGTTCATGTTTGTGTGTGTTGTTTGTGTGGTTTCTTGATTATTGTCTGGTGCTGTCAAACAGATTGCCCCTTGGGGATAATAAAGACACTCTCTTTCTCTTGTAAAGACCTTACACCAGTGTTTCTCAGTCTTCTGCGTCCCACACCCAGGAACTTTCGAGGACACACGTCACCAGCCTGAGCACATTGGTGTTAATATTACAACTCGGGCTCATCTTGGCGTTTAATCCGAGTTGGCGTCGAAGTGCACAGTTGCCTTTATTGATGCCGGTGAAACATGGGGCGCCCGTGCCCAGCAGCTCTCAGACAGCAGTTCTTCCTTTTTTGTTTTTTTATTTCCGTCAAACTTGGGGAAAAATGGAGTTTGCGCCACTCCCTACTCCCACAGGGACAGACTTGGAGCGCATCCCGTCTCGTGTATGCACCGACACTTTGCTTACTACAGAGAACTGATGCATCTTAACAATATCTCATTTATTTTTCTCATACGTGACTCTTTCAAGAATTCTGTGGTATTTTGAAGGCATGACGCTGTGATGTGCCATGGCGCACTGCTGGAGAAATTTTGCCGTTTACTAATATTATAATAATAATAATAATTGCTTACACTTATATAGCGCTTTACTGGACACTCCACTCAAAGCGCATTACAGGTAATGGGGACTCCCCTCCACCACCACCAGTGTGCAGCCCCACCTGGATGATGTGACGGCAACAAGAGTGCGCCAGTACACTCACCCCACATTAGCTATTGGTGGGGAGGAGAGCGGAGTAATGAAGCCAATTCATTGATTCAATTAATTGATTCAGCCAGTTCAATAATATTCCTTATTATTAGCGTGCTGCGAGGATGCCCCTTATACAGGGTGACTTGCATTGTCTACAGAGTTTCACCTTCAGAGGAAGTCCAAAGAAGACAGTAGCAATTAGGTGCAGTAAAATAAGATTAATCAAATTACAACACTATTATAACAGGGCAAGCGTAACGATGTAGTGCAACACAAGTGCCCTGCACGCACAAAATAAAAATACTGAAATAGTAGTGGTAGTGAGGAACGAGGGTGTACAGACAGTGTGGCTACAGAGTGGTAATGTAGACACCCTGTAGGTATATATTGCGTTTGCAGCTTGCAAGGTATGTTACCAGCCTGAGAGTTAGGAGCATGAATGCAGTGCAATGTGAGAGTTACTGAAGGGTGCGTTTGAGATCAGGGAAGTCTAAATGGGTGAATCTTGGAACAGACACTGCAAGGTTTTTGGGAACTGGCCATCATATGGATTTTGCCTTCTCTTTGAGTCTTCTGCCTCAGATTTAAAGTAGCAAAGTAAACGTGTTTATAAAAACAGATTATGACCTTGATGATGTTTTTTGCTGCCTGTGCCTATATATTATGCATGTTTTTCCAGAAACACCTGAACATACTGCTGCGTGATACACATCTGTTGTGCCGATATGAGGGCTGTGTCTGCCCTCAGTGTTTGAATGTGAAGCTGGTGTGCATTGTTAGAAATGGACAAAAGGCCCAGCCATTCTGTTAAAGAAAAACATCATTTATTCTTCTGATGCAGAGTCAGCAGCCTGCCTTCCTCATTTCAGAGGGTGTGGGTGGCTCTGTCCAGAAATCTCGCCTGCTGTCCTGACCTCCAGGGCCGGGGGTGAGACTGTCTGCACGGCGGGGCTGGGGGGACACAGTGAATAGAGAGATGGCCCGCTTCATCACAGCCAGTAGCCAGAGACTCGTCCACCGCTGCCCCGAAAGGCTGAATTAATTTAATGGAAATTACCTTCTCCAATGAATGTTTTATTTTCGTTAGTGCCCTGGAGATCTCAGGGGAGTGCTATCTCACCCAAGCTGTCTGCCGGTTTTTATGCTGAAACTTTTTTCCAAAGCTGTGCCGGATTTAACTGCAGTAGGAAAAGTATGCCTTTTTGTTTTAAATGACCCCTAAAGGACAGCAGAACAGTGCAGCATTTTTTTTTATTTGCATTTCTTTTATCCTGTATCTATTGTTTTCCTCTTTCCCGTTTCTTCCCCTTCCCCCATCACTCTTCCCCTCTCCTTTTCTCTCCTCCATCACTCTCTCGGTTTTCCTTTCCCATCACACTCTGCCTCCCCCCTCCTTTGTGTGTTGTAGGCAGGCAGGGGGCAGATGCTGTATGCCAGGGCTGTAGAGTAGCTGCATGTTCAGAGCAGGTGCAGAGGAGGTAGTGCATCAGTCAGGTCACTGGTGCTGTACAGCTGCATTGGTAACTGATCATTGTAACTTGGGAACAAAGCCCTGATAATTACTGAAAAAGCATGTCGATTCAGAGAAAGATGGGGGAAAATGGCCATTGCCTTGCAGTGTCCTCTGCATGTTTAATGTTATTAAATTTTTATTATGTTTTTATTACACTTTTTTTTGCATTGATTATCATGCTGGAGCAGGCTGGTGGGAGAAGAACTGCACAGGCTCCATTTCAGGATTTGGCAGTGGACTTAATTACATGTCATTAATGTTTAGAAGCAATTTGTTACAGGAACTACACAGTGGAAGAGCTAAGGGAACACTGACTTGATAGAGGATTTGTTTTATGATCTCCAGATAAAACAAAACTTCCTTAAATGAACTAGGCCCAGCGCTGCAGAGAGAGAGAGAATGTCAGAGACGACTTTGTTTTTCAAGTGCTTTTAAACTAATTCAGGCTCTCCGTTTTCTTCTTGTTTTTCCAAATGTCAAGTGCATTGGAAGCCGTATGTATAAAAAACAAAAGCAGAGTTGTGACTAGATTGCCTGCGTTCCTGTTGCCGTTGCGCATTAGGTAGTGCAAATAAAACAAAACAGTGACGCAACCTATGTCAAAATATACTTGAAAGTGTAAGCAATCAGAAACAAACACAAATGATTCATTTTGTGGGGCACGTGGAGAGTTGTGCAGATATTAGGGATATGTACATTCCAGTTCCTGCACGCGCTATAAATTTTTTATTGCTTTTTCCCTTTACTGCCGGCATGTAAAATAATTGTAGCTTTTAAAATATCTGTAATGCATAATATAGCCTCAGAAGGCTTTTGCCTAAAGAATTTTCATTTCATGGTCAGTTAAGCTTCCTACATCTGGAAGAAATGGAACCTTAAAACAATTATAGTGCTGACTGTTGTCGTGACTTTTGTAGTAGATTTTAATTTTTGATTTCCATTTGGATTCTTCCTCTTTAAGCATGGAATGTGTTCATCCCAAGTAAGCTTTTATTAAATCCCCTCTGGGAATGTTTGCCTTTATTTTTTAAGCATTGTTCCGTGGTAGTGTCAGGTTAAAAGAGTTGGGGTAGCATTGTGGACCGGAGGAGAACGGAAGGAGAGCTTCGTGTTTCTTTCACACAAGGTGTGTGACCTTCAGAAGGTATCCCGTCCTTGGTCAATTTGTAGGCTGCATGTATACTTTGCTTTTTTTACTGGCGACTTTTTTTTTGCATCATGGGTAAGCAGGTTTTAATCTGGACAAATATGTGTTTTTAAACACACAAATGGAGACTTGGAACTGTGGCAGATGAGTAAAGGAAGTTTAGGTTTGTTCCCTTTATACTACTCACTCCTGAGAAAAGACTTTTAATTGTGACAGAAGGTGATCATTTCATGAAGGCTTTTACCACTGAAAGGCTTTCTGGTTGAACATCTCAGCCTGGAGCCAATGGAGGTGAAGTTACACAAGGCTGGAAAAAGACCTTTTTTTTTACTGTTGAACTGCAGTGTCCCCTCTGGAAGACTTTCTTCAACTCCTAGTTGAGTGGCAAGAAAATGTAACCCACGAGAAATCATTTGCACTGTAAGTGTGGCATAATTCTGCATGTCTAAGTGTCAAGAAAAATATGGAACAAAGACAAATGACTGAGAAATGGGGATTATTTTTGCCTTGTTTTTAAGGGCACATGTTATTTAACGTCTGAATCCAGATTCGGGAAAGATTAAGAACAGCATATCACTGCAATCTTTAAATTACCTCTTTGCAGACTGATTGCCAAATGGGGCACTAATTCTTCTTTCCTAATGCTCCGCGTATGTCTTGCAAATTGGGTGCAGATGCTCTGGTGCTACAGAGCAAATGCTGCCCTGCTCCAGAAATCTCTTTTCTTTCTTGCAAGCAGTGAATCTAAAGTCATTATTTATTTAATCTGTTAGCCTAACAAGCTTCTGACTTTCATTTTAGTTTCACAGCATGCGGTAGCCAGTCTTTTAGACCTTCTGATATGTGTTTAGTTTCAATCACGACAAATATCAGACTAGAAAATACCATTGTTGTTCCCTCTCTGTCCACCTGTATGTCCTTCTTGTGCTTTTAAACACACATCTACATAAGCTATAATGAAGAGATATAGATGATTGCTTCCTTAAAGCCGAATTGTTAATAGGAATTCTATGAAAAATGAGGGCATGCCAAGTATAATTTTTGACAGATAAGAGAAGCTTTTTAATGAAGGGCACTATCTTCCTGTACTTAAAAAAAATCCTATAAAAAAGCTGAACTTTGCATACAAAAACATGATGCCTTTGGGCAAAAGCCTCACCATTTCTGAGTCAAATTACATTGTTTTAAAAATGTGACCTCTTTTGTCTGCAGTTCTTAGAAAATAAACCCCGGCAAACTCCGAAACGTATTAATCAGACTTAATAATGCTTCATAATTGCTGCTTAATAATCACGTTGCACATTAGAAACTTGCTTAGTCCATTTTCAATAATGAAGAAAATAGTTTTACTGCAGTATAATGTGACATCTAGTGAAAGTTGCATATTATTAAATTCCAACCTTAATTATGACTCATTATATTGAGTTTTGGTTGTTGTAAGAAATTGAGGGAACAGGAAATTGAATATGCATCTGGCTTCTGAGTCTGT